CCTTCATCTTCGAAGGGCGAGATCAGTTGGGTCGACCATAGGCCTGTCCGTCTCATCCAGACTGTAAAAGGCTCCCCTTGCAACTGACCATATTGCAGAAAACTCCACCCCATGATCTTTTTCTCCCATATCCCGTTTTCACGGGACCGGAAGTGCTCATAGACGACATCAATTCCAAAATCCTGCCAGGTCTGTGTCAACTCCCTCCGGGTGAGGCGGAGCGTTTTCAGGTAAGGCAGACCACCTGCACATGCTACTGCAAATGGCACAAACGATGCCGGCGCAACTATTCGCTGCATAAAGCACATAGCGTCATCTCGGTCAGCCAAAAGCACCACATGGTTCGGATCTTGGCCAGGACCAGTAGGAGTTGCAGTGTTTCCTCCTTGGGACGAAAATGTCCGGCCTTGTACGTTCATGGATTGGGACCTGACAGTCTGAGTAGAACTTGATGCGTCACTGGAAGCTGACGATGCAGTATAAAGGTCCTCTGAAGTTCCAACGCTTGTAGCTTCTGGGTCAAATACCGGCATCACGATTTGTCTCTGCAATGGCATCCTTTCCACGAAAGTTAAAGCAATCCCTGAAAAAAGCGGCACAGACTGTTCCCATTGATACACCCTCGGTCCAACGACAATAATGCATTCGGACATCCAGACACATTGCACGTGTGGAAGTCGCTCTGCAAATAGTTCATGGACAAAAGGAAAACGGGTCGTCCTGTATAGGAAAGTCCCTCTCCAATTCTCTACAAGTGTATCGACCGTAGCTAGGATCCCCACCCAGCCTTCGGGGCAAACCGGTAGAAGAAGGAAAGTGATTTCGTTCTCGACAGGTCGAACCGGCACGAGCTGGGCTTGCGGTCGGATTTGGAAGTCACGCCAGGAACCGACAATTTGTGGCTTAACGGGTCTGCTCAACACAATCTCATGTCGTCGGAAAATAAAGGACCATAGGTCCCTTCTATCCCAGGTATGGAGCCATACAACAACTGTCGCTCTCGAAGCCCCAATACTCTCGAGTACAAAAGCTAGAGCAGGGTCTGATGTACCAGCGTTTGCTGGACTCTGCATTAAGCTGTTGACATCTTCGATGACCCGTTCACGATCATGCATAGCCTCTGTACGAACATGAACGACCAAAAGCTCGCCTGCCATTCTGTTCAAACCACTCTTTTGGATTGGCATGAGTTCTTCTCCTGGTCTGAACACATCAGTCGTTAGCAGCGAGCGTCGAAGGCCAAGTTTTGATAGAACGCACGAATGGTAGGTCATCGACACGTCGTCCATCGAAACACCAGCTTGCTTCACAATCAAGGATGGGACTTCCCAAGTCTGCAACGGCCGGTAAACTAGAAAATGCATCTGATCACCATCGTAGTCAAAATTGGTAGGCTGTGGTCGGACAATCGTATAGTCACACGAAGTCGACCCACATTTATCTCTCCACAGCTCAGTAAACGTGGCTTGCAGGTCAATGAAATCATTTCGAGCAAGCATCAGCTGTCTCGGCTGTCTTGGGCAGGACGCTTTCTCAGCAAACCAAACCTGGACATTCGAACATCCTGACAGAGGTTGCAGAGACCATGTACATGCCAAACAAGACTCCTCTTGTATTTGCACTGACAACTGAACCAGGCTAAGCCACTGGCTATGGGGTGCGTTTTCACTACTTAGGTTCGCTCCACTATCAGGCAGCAAAGTATTTGTAACATCGTCAGCCTCAAAACGTGGACAAAAACCGTGCACAGCTCTAGGCCTAGTGTGGTATCCGGGCCGAGCACAAGAGGAACAACTTGACCTTCTATCGTGTACTTCTGACACAGAAAAAGGGAGAAATGTCATCTCGCTTTCTCGAACCAAAATTGGATCAAAGTTGTAACCTTCTTGGGGGTCCTCAAAAGGCTGGGCTTGCAAACCAGTCGAAGGGCGGTCCCTTGAGGAATTGAAAGACTGCCCGTTTCTGAGCTCCTGGCCAAAAAGCAAATCATGTTCATTCGGCAGTTTGTTAATGCTATCTGCTAATGAGATGCCTTCGGCTCCTAGGAGATTAAGTAGCATCACACAGGCAAGAATCCGCTTCTTGCAACTCGCAAGTCTGGGGCGTTTAGAGGCAATTCGCCTGCCAGCAGCAATGCTACATTGCTTCGGAAACTTTGGGTGCAGCTCTTCTCTGCAACGCATATAGCGGCAAAATTCAAGGCTGAGATAGCTTCCCAAGCAACCCCGAAAGATCCAAAGAAGGATATGCACACCTCCTGAGGATGTCTCATATTCAGGGTCGGGCTCTGCACATTCAAGGAGAAGACCAAAGCAAATGCAGCAACTCCTTAGGAGGAGCACACCGTTAATGAGTCTCTCTTCCGCAGGCCACCTGTATAGTCGCTTAATTAATCCACCATTACGGGCATGGTCGAATAGCTCAGACAATTCACCAAGACCGAGAAAAGTCAGGAGCGCGAAAATTGGCACACACGACAGCACAAACAATCTGGCACACCGAGGGAAAAGGTCAAAAGTTCCTCCAAAGAACTTCCAACAAGTGTCAACAGATTGCTCGACAGTCTCTGGCGCTATTCCATGTTCGAAAGGGAAAACCTCTGTGTCGATTACATGGGGCTTTTCACATAGATTGGCAACCCCATCGCCAATCATCTTGGTGCCCTGTCCATATTGGCTGGGAACAAGGCCACAGATCGAAAAACCTGCAGAGAACAAGCAAGATTCAAATGGCTCGATTCTTGTCTCTACATCTAAAGCAAACCTTTCCTTATCCATCATGGACAAGCCATAGTCTGCCATACTACTCGCATAGGATTGACTGTCTTGTGAGCTGCTTTGAAATCTAGCGCTACACCATGACAGCATTTCGTAGCTCAGGAGAGCTGCAGGATGTCTTTGTACTTGGTGCCATCTGGGGTGGCAACCTTCGGGTCCCCGCCCTGGGGCGTATATGGCCCTGGCTGTCCTTTCTGGCCAACACTCTTGCCAAAAGGCTGGAGAGCAGGAGAAATCATCAAGGGGACAACCCCCGCCGAGCTTGCCGACTTCGTATCATCTTCTGGCTCCAACTTGACCTTCGTGCCAAGGCCTTTTGCCTGAAAATCTTCGATCACACCATTGATGAGCTCCATCACAGCTGCTTTTGTGACCTAGTCCCTGGGATAGTCGGACATCGTCTGCAGCACAATTTGCTGGCATTGATCCGGGTACTTGTTTAGTTCTGCTTTCAGCTCTTGGCTTGTATAGTCGCACTCTTTGGAAATACGGATTCTTTTCAATCCGCTTCCATGGTCTGGAGATCTGGAACGATCTGCTCGTTCCTTGCCATCTTCCCGGGTTGACAAAATCTCTGTCCCAATGGTCTTCTTGCGAACCAAAGGCTGTTGTGGGGAGCTCACTCTGGGGCCTGTGGTCAAAGTGGCACCTTGCAAAGCACCCATAATGGCTGACATCTGTGCCTGCATCTGCTCCATCATGGCTGCATTCTTGGCCTCCAAGTGTGCCGTGTATGAAGTCAGGCCTCGAAATTCTTGCCTCATCGCACGAAGTTCTCCTTGGACAGCTTGGTCGATCTTGTTCTCGTCGTCGGAATCTGCCACCATCAACGGGTCTTCCTTCCCTGCCTCGATCGACCTGAGCTCTTCTCTCAACTCCGCAACTTCGGTTGCCACTCTCTTCTCTTCCTTGCGAATGCCCTCCTGAATGGAATATTTCCATTCTGAGAAGCTCTTCTCTTTGCGGTCCATAGTCTCTCGGACTTTGGTTACTTTGTTCAAGGCTTTGCGTTCTTGGTTCAAAGCCTTTTGCTTTTGCTTGATGATCTCCCTCGGATCGGTCTTCAGGACCTCTTGCACTGCTTCTGGGAGGTGCTGCTGGTCTTCTTCTTTGGGCACAATTTTCTCGACCAAGAACTTCATTGTCTCTCGCAGCTTCTGGTTTTCTTCCTTCAAAGCTGAATCCGACTGCGATGACGATGAAGATCGCGGCAATGCCGATCCAGATTCTTCGAGCTCGACCGCCTTGCCATCGTACAGCACTGCTTTCTTCTGCTTGTCGTTGCCTCTCTTTTCTGGCTTCTTCGTCTCGTAGTAGTAGGCCGGCTCTGGAGCCCACTCTTGCCATACGTTCCAGTTCTGCTTGGCTTTCCATGACATCCCTATAGGAGCAAAAGCCTGGATCCAGTATTTGGGCCTTGTGTGGTGAGCATGAGAAGCTTGAGCTTCTCCTTTAGCTTTTCCAGTACAGAAGCCGAAAGGACAGGTTTATATTGGTGCCTCTTGATGAAGCACCTAGCCAAGCGTCTCTTTTTTCTGGCTCTCCTGTGCCACGTAGGTGAAGTCCCAATGGCTCACGGGGTCGCCGTCACGTGTAACACACGTGGGGATCAGGAAATTCCTAACTAAGTAGGCTGGTCCTGAGCCCTGTTTAACACTTCAACCTTATGCATAGTCTGCAACATCCACCTAACACATGTGTTTACAGTTGAATTCTGGTGGAGGTGGGGCGGTCTGATTTCTTCAAAATTTACAGTGTTGGAATGGAAGACAACACTTTGAAGGATGTGTTGTTTGTTGCTGCATGTTGTTGCCCTCCCATGAATTCAGTCGAGTCTTTTCACTCGACTGAAGAAGCCCATAGTAGCGTCCCTGCTCCTAGTGGTCTTTTGCTAGTAGTGACATGGTTTCCCTGTTTGGCGCCCAGATTGTCGGAAGTTGGGAGGCTGCACTATGAGGCTTCATAAATTTGCTGAACGGATAAACATAAAATTTTAAAGTCCTTCAGTCCCATGCAGGCTCTTGTTGAACCATTTGACTTTCCAAAGTCGAAGAAAGGTGAGTCAACACTTACGTTTGCCTTTTTATCCTTTTTTGGGGCGATTACCCCCTAGTACTCTTTTATAAAGCCTTTTTGGACGTTCACTGCAGAACCGGGGGTTTGACCCACAGCCATACTCTGACGCGCTGCAAATTCTCACCCCGCAGCCCCCTTTATGCTGAGGCGTACGTCCTGACTCTCAACGAATCCGTCACCGAGATCAACCTCCGATGCAAGGAGTTTGGCGCCGAGGGAATGAAGGTTGGCGCCCAAAAATCCGATGGTTTGTTCGCCTGGGGGGCAAGCGGCACAGCTGACTCACTGCAGGTCTTGACAGCCGCTTTGAAGGAAAACAAACAGGTGACGAAGATCAACCTCGAAAGATGTATCGGTGATGTTGGAGCACAGGCGCGGGTTCGCCTGAATTTTACTGTCTCCTTGTTTGTTGAAGCACCTGCTTTCAGCAGGCTTTAGCCGAGATGTTGCACCAGAACCGTACGATCAAGAAGATTGTTCTCAGTTCGAATCGCATCACTACTGTGGGGGCGAAGGCGCCCTTTGAGCCGAGCTTTGCCGCTTTCGGTTTCGGATTCTTTGAAGTTGCAGGCGTTGCTGGAGGCACTCCGAGTCAACAAGGTTGTCACGTACATCTCTCTCAATGACAACGGTGAAATCAGCGAGGAGGCTCCGGTGACATGGTTGGTCTTTTGATTTTTGTTCAAAGGTTTTTTGTATTAGCTCGTCACCCATCAGGTGAAGAAGGAAATTGAGGAGGTTCTTGAGGCCAACTCGATAGTTGAAGCGACAGTGGCAGGTCAATGTGTATATTAGTCAAAGAAGTCAAAGCATGTCAAATTTGAGTAGTAGCTTGAAAACAGACTTTCCAAATGGAGAGGGATGTGTTGGTAGCGTTTGGTCGATGCTAATGGAATTCTTTGGCTGTAAATCTATCATTATATTTTACATGGTCTTAAGCGAACCCGTCTGAATATATGTTATCGAAATAGTTGCGAAGAGTCCAGCAATAAGCACTTGCAACAATGCCGGTGGGCCTGCGATTGATTCATCGAGATATATCGGCCAAACCATTTACCAAAATTGTTGGATTCACCCTCACGGATTGAGGCACAGGTAGAGGAAGAAGGAGAAGTCTTTGATTTCAGCATGCAGAAGTCCGGAGGTGGCCTGGGTTTTGATGCCTGGCCCAGAATAAACCACACTGGGCAATGATTATGCGGAGTCCGCGGGTTGCATTGCACTTCTATTGGTGTCTATTGGGCCCTGAGTGATTGTGACTGAACTGTGGACGGACTTTCCACAAATCGCTGGTAAGCAGTGAAGTCTTTTCAGATACCAGTCGCTGATATATTGTATCTAGCAGCCAGACTTTACGACTCAGCACATTTTAGCATTTCACCATCTCAAACATGACGTGTTTGTCTGCACCACAGAAGTCTGAGTGTTGACAATCCGAGGATGCCGTCTTAAGGCACTGCTGGCGAATGTTTCAGCTGTCAGTAGCGGGGCGTGATTTGTCCGGCTTGATTGAAGTGATTCGGTTGCTATTCAGCTTGTCTCAGGCACATCTCACCAGACAATGTGCTAGCGGAACCACCTTCGCACACGCTCGCAAGCGTATCGGAATTTCTGTGTAATGCATGTCGGTGTATAGATTGGGACCACCCGGCAATCTATGAAAAAGATTCTGAAGATCAACCAGCTGGAGTCTAGAGGTGAACCCGTCACAAGGAGGAGGGAATTTGTTGTGGGTCTTCAAACGGGCCAGTTGCAGGCGTGCATACATCGTGGTGACCGAAATCTTTGACGATGGTGACGTAGCGGGTTGCCTCAGGAGTCAGTGATTGGTTGTCAAAGGCAGCTGGTATCTTTGCAAGGCAAGCTGCTTCATTGCAAACAAAACAAAGTCCAACTCTGTTTACTACAGGTCTACTGAGCACTTTTTTTTGGCCCGCGGGGGGGGTGGTAGGCCGTAGAGGTAGTAGCCTAGTAGCTAGGTAGCTAGTAGCTTACTTAAGCTACGACGCAGGATAGCTCGCGCTTCTAATGATTTGGTTCCCAGATTTTTGGGGAAACTTAAGGTTTTAACTTCTTTTGAGTTGTTTTGTGTAATGGTCGCAAATAGTCTCACCGCTACAGTGTAGTGAAGGCAGCTGGAATGTTGCAAGGTGGAAACCAACAATGCCATCGCAGAGCCGACGAATCGTTTGAAGGAGCGGGGGCAACCTTCTGAGAAGTCACGGTTACATTGAGAAGACTTTGGTCATCAGATGTCACAAGTGTTTACCTTGCTGCTTGATGAACACAATGCAGACCATCCATTCAAGAGCTTTCATATGTGTAAAGACTGCAGGTCAAAAACGACGTAGATTGATGTAGGTCGAATCATATATGGAGACATTTGGAGGGAGAAGTCCAGATTGGCAGCGCCAACTGAGGACTTGAAAAGATAGAACGTTTGTTTCGTAAATAAGTCCACGTTCCAACTTTGCATCGTTTTCCCATCCCGGCTTCTTTTTGGCCGCCCAATGCCTGAAACTTTCAATTTCGGGTCATCTTATGTTACTTTTTGGGGTTACTTCAGTCTTCCCCCAACGGCTTGGCCTTTCTTACTTACAGCTTCTCAGACCCCACCGCTCGCAGGCAGGTGACTTTATCGTAGACGTCAACGGTATAAAGGGTGACAGCGACGCGATGGCCGGGCAGAGGGCTGGTGAGAACTGTTGATGTCAATGGGGTTTGGCTCACTGCAATGGAGGTTGATTATCCAAAGATGTGTTGTTCCCCAAACAGTTTACTGTTGGGGGTTCTCAATTCTTTCTTAAGATGTTTCCGCCCTTTCTGTCACTGCTGGTGTCCGCCCTTTTTCCGCTGGCCACGTAGCATTTCTATTCATTTGTCTCTCCGTCTTGTCTCCCTTCTTGTTGGTCATTGTGTCCGCCCTGTCTTCTTCATTGTGTCCGTTGTCTCCCTTCTCAGGGCTGCTCCGACAATACTAAAGTCCTCAAAGGTCACGCAGGTGGCTTTTTGGAAATCAACTTAGTGAAGCTAAAAGTTCATGCGAAGCTAAAATCAGATTTCAACCTGGGTGGGTCTTCACATAGGTTTTCGCTGGTGGGTCTTGTATTTCAGCTAGTGTAATGCGAGCTCTTAGGAAATAGATCCTCGCGCTGTTTGGCTTTAGATATCAGCAGCCAGAAGCCGCAGCCATTCACTGCGACTACGCGTCTAGCTGCGCGCCATTCATTTCTGATCCATGGCAGCGGAAGCCAACCCATACCCGGTGGTGTATTTGGCAACAGGCGCTAGTGGCAGTATGAAACCCAACCACCAGCCAACCTAGGGGCGCTTCCTCATTCCAGCGCGCTGAAGCAATTCCCCGCCAACGAAAGAAAATTGGAAGAGCGATTGCGGGTTGAAGAGTCAAGGGATTGGCGGACGATTTGAATACTGTGCTCGGTAGTTACATGATTGCAGGCAATTGGCTAGAAACAGGTCAGCAATTGAATAGCACTCATTCAGTTTTCATTCACTGACTTTCATGGACCTCCACACTCACCTATTTTCACCACCAGTGCATTCCACCCAGCTCCACATTCACCTCCAGCGCGCATCCCACTCACCTTCACATGGACCAGTTCGTTCCATGATCCATTTCTGCTGGGCTCTGTGGGCCACTTAAAAGGCAATTTGCTTTGCCCAATCGCCTCGCAAAAGAGCCCTCAGGTGCGCCTGGCCCAGACGCGCGCCGCAGCAGGCCAGGCTCGCGGCCTGGCTTCTCCTTGCTTACTGTAGTCTTTGATCGCTTTCAGAAAAGAGCTGCTTGGCTCGCGCCCACACGCGTGTTCAGGCGCACGCCCAGCACCGGCCAGGCTTTCTTTTGCTTGCTCACTCCCAGAAAGGGCCCACCTCCTTGGCTGAGAAGCTCCAACTTCGGGCTGCAGGCCTCTGTGGCCAAGTTGCGTCCCAGTGGCGCGGGCGCCTCTTGTTGACAGACACGCCTTCTCCTGGAGTCGCGCAAGGCGGTTCTTCGCTGAGGGCCAACGATGCTGCATGGCCGTTGAATCGATTCGGGCTTCACAGTGCTCTGGAATCAACTCCATTTGAGATTGCCTATGAACGTCGATATTGCGGCAAGTTGGTTTGCTTTGGCGAGTTTGTGCTAGTGCTACATCGCCAAGCAGTTGCATTACGAGGGGCGTTGGATCTAGGGACAAAGAATCCCACGATTAGGATGCCATGGGAACAATCACCCAATCACCATTCACCAGCCTTGTGATGGGGGCATCTGTTCTCTCTTGGTTGGACGTGCCTGAAATTCCACGTGTGTTACCGCCGCTGCAATCAAATTTAGATGAGACTTCTGCTTGCGACGACTTGCCAGCCAAGAGACAGAGAATACGTTACCATATGCATGTAGCGGCTCACCGTCATGATGATGCTGAGAGGACTCGAGTTCTCTTGCAATGGGCTGAACTTGTGATCCGGTGCCCCCAGCGCTCAAGGGTTGGAAATCAGCTGCTGGGTTTCAGATAGTGTCGGATGCCTTGCGCGGTAAGTCAACGAGCACTTTGAAGATTAGAGTGTCATCCTTGATGTTGTATGTCAAATGGTTGCTCAGCTTACCCAGGGGTGGAATTTCTGCCTTTTTCGGAGGAGCGCTGCTATGAATACTTATGTCATTTGAGAAGCACCTTACCGTCAGCAACGAGAGGCACAACGTTCTTGAGCTCGCTGCAATTTGCTGGCAATATTTTGATTAATGCACGACCTCTGCAAGATGTACAGGAGCAACATTGGACATATACCTTCACAAGAATCCGTTGAAGCAAGCTCCAGCACTGACCGTTAACATGTTGTGTGTCTTGGAGCTGGCATCTTTTTGTGAGAAAGACAAGTTTCTGCGTGCGTTCGCTGGTTTCATTCTCTTTTGCGTGTATGGTCGCCTAAGAGTGTCCGATCTCAACAGGCTGGTACACTGCTCATTGTTGGGAAACTATGTGGAAGGGTCGCTGATGAAAGTGAAGACTGCTAGGTCTAAGGAAAAGCAGCGCACGTTTCTGCCGGTGGTAGCGCCTGCCATGGGCGTCTTGGGAACAAGATGGTTTCAAGCTTTTGTGCTAAACAGAGCCACATTGGAGTTGGACAACATTCCCTCGCTGGAGTCGCGTGCATCAAATGAGAGCTTTGGCGTATTGCCATCAGAGTCCACCATTCATTTGGACTGTTACTCCAAGATCGATAGCGCAGAAGTGGCGGAGGGCCTGCAGAGGATTCTTGGTAAAGTCTTCAGTCGTGAGGAGCTGTGCGACTACAAGCCACAGTTTGAAATCCACATTGCCAAGTGGCTACAGCAGAATCAGCTTAGAGCAAGTGCACCGCGCCGACTTGGAGCTCTTCAAGCATATGATGAGGAGCACCAGGGGTGGCATCAAAGTGCTGAGTGGAATTCAGCCTATGAAGACGGCTTTGCAGCAGGCCATCGTTGCCCCGGAAGTTCGCCTCTGCCTGCAGCCGCTACAATAAGGCAGCATGAGTCTCGTGATGAGGATGCCAACAAGGTGAAGAAGCTGAACGCAGCTTCCAGTGACAACGAAGAACGGCTGAAGCGTCAGATCCAGAACCTGCAGGGACAGATCAAGAATCTCCAAAGTGGAGGTAGTGCTGGCAAGGGACGTGGGAAAAGGAAAGACAAAGAACAAGCTCATTCGTACGCCAGCTCCTCTCATTGGAATGAGTCCGACTACCGAAGCCGGCGAACCAATGATTTCAATTTGAGCGGATGTTCCAAGGCGAAGCCTGGTGACAAGTGTCCGAAAGGATACCACACCTGCATGAGGCCTGGGTGCAATGAGGCTCACAGACAGAAACAGCATCCTGGAAAGTGACAGCATGGCAACCCGCCCGTGGCGGCAGCTGAGCAGGCAAAAAGCCTGAGAGAGTTTTCATACACTGGTGCGCCCAGCTCATCAACTATTTGCATAGAGTTGCGCGCTGGCTGCGCCAGACTATCCCGCTGTTTGAAGAACAAAGGGTTCTGCACTATTTCCATTGACCATTCGAAGAATCGTCATCAAGCTCAACACCCCACGATTAACCTAGATTTGGCGAGTGGCGACTGCTTCGCGCAATTGCTAAGCCTGTTGGAGAGCCAAGGCATGGTGGTTTATATACACGCAGCTCCCCCATGTGGAACTTGCAGTCGAGCTCGAAATCGCAGGATCGCTTTCCATCTACGCACTCAAGGCGCGCCAGACCCTAAGCCACTTAGGTCCGAACGTTGGCCTCAGGGCCTACCGGAGTTGCTTGGACTTGATGCCAAGCGTGTGGCTACTGCCAATGCAATTTACCAGAACGTGTGTAAGATTGTCAAGCATTTTGCTTCCTCTGCACTCATCACCATAGAAAACCCTAGCCGCTCCTATATGTGGCTTACGTCTTGGTTCCAGTCTCTTATTGCCGAGTGCAATCTAACCCCTGTTCATTTGCAGCAGTGCACGCACGGGGGCCAGAAATGGTCATGCTTCTATGTAGCTGTTCCAAGAGCTAGCCTTGACCTGTGACAGGAGCCACGACCACCTGCCATCGGGGGTCGCCCAGGAAGAGGACAAGTGGGTTTTCAGTACTGCGCAAGAGGCGGAATATACGGAACTCTTGCGCCAGCGCATTTCTAGCATTGTTGCCACGGTTTGTCAGCAGCAATCTAAACCCAGACAACCGAACTCCCAGGCCAAAATTCGGGCCGCTGAAGCCGGTCGCCAACCACGCGGCAATTTGATGCCCCAAATCATTCCCGAATTTTTGCCGGTCCTGACCGTGCCAACCAGTGAAGAAGTGTCTCCCGGTAAAACCCCGTCATGGTTTGCGCATAGATACAATGTTCCCATCAATAGTAAGATCTTGCCACCCGAAAGGGGGAATGCCAAGGCTAGATCCGATGCTGATGAAAGCAATGTTGATGCAGAAAATGTGAAACTGAAACAACTCAAATCAGCGTCGTCAACCACTAAGGTCTTCACTGTCAAATCGACAGATCCCCAACTTAAAGTCGGAGTTTGGCGATCACCAACACAGTTTTTGAATGAAGCCTTGAAAGTCGAACACCCATTTGATGGTAATTCGACGGTGTCTGATGGAGCGAAAAGAGCCATGTTTGACATCCTAACCCACAGACGAGAAGCAATTAATTGCTCGGAAGAGGGAACTAGTTTTTCAACATTATGAGCAAAATAGGATGTCTCTTGAGGGTAAAGAGGACCGGATACACCAGGCTTTAGACCATGATTGTTCTGATTTGTTGAGAGACAAGCAGTTTCTCCTCTTCAAAGTCATGGCCGCAGACGCAGGAGTGGATGATGAGCACTTGGTTGATACCCTGGTCAATGGGGTTAAATTGACTGGGTCGGGCGAGCCCACAGGCCAACTCGACCATGAGGAAAACACGGCTGCCCTAAATGACGTCCAACTCATGAGGAGCACAAGGTGGAGCCGGAAATCGATCATGTCTAAAAGTCCATAGTGCTGACAACGCCCGTGAGACTATTTGGGAAGGCGCACTAGAAGAAGCGGGCAGGGGCTGGCTTGAGGGCCCGTACTCGGAGGAAGAGTCGCTCGCATCTTGGGACCTCGTTTTGTAGTGTCCAGACGTTTTGGTTTGGAGCAAACTGACAAAATCCGTGCCATCGATGACACGTCGGAATCTTTGGTAAACTCTGCTTTTGCCCCCTCCTATAGGCTAGACCTGAGTGGTATTGACGGAGTTGCAGTTTTGGCTAGGACTTTTCTAGATGCGGTAAGGATTGACGGACAGGTAGAATTGCTCTTGAGTGATGGTTCCCGGTTGAACGGTCATTTGCATGCGTCTTGGAGCCGACAGGAGGCCAACCAGTTAAGTGGACGGACCTTAGACCTTGATGCTGCGTACAAACAGTTGTTGGTTGCAAAGTCGTCGCGTTGGACGGCTGTCCTGGCAGTGGAGGACTTGCAAGGGGCTCGACGCTTATTCATATTTCTAAGGTACTACCGTTCGGAGCCACTGCGTCCGTGTTTGCCTTCAATCGGATCGCAAGAGCAATACATGCAATAGGAGAGCGATTGTTTGGTTTGGTTTGGTCCAACTATTTTGATGATTACCCGCTGCTTGATTTGGCGGCCTCTCAGAACGATTCGCAAGTGACGGCAGAACGACTGCTTGACCTGTTGGGTTGGAAGTTATCACAGAAGGAAACCAAGCGCAGACCCTTTGACTTCACCTTCGATGCGCTGGGAGTTACGTTTGATTTCACCCGGTGTAAATTCGGTGAAGTTGTTGTTCGTAACAAGGCCTCCAGAGTGCTACAAGTGTCCGCTGAGATTGAATCGATCCTTCAGAAAGGGTCGTTTCCAACCAAAGCAGCTTCCGCCTTGAGAGGAAAGTTGCAATTTGCTGAGGCACACACGTTCGGTCGAATCCTGTCTTCAAGCCTGCGAGCCTTTCAGAACAGAGCCACAGGTAAAGATGCCGGGGAGAGCGCCAATGCTGCACTAAGGCTAGAGCTTGAATGGGCTAACGACTTCACGCAAAGCAACCGGCCGCGAACACTAAGGTGCGATATGGACAGTTCCCGTTTAGTGATTTTCACGGATGCATCGCTAGAAGGGTCCGACGCTTGTGGGGGAATTGGCATGGTTGCTGTTCATGTTGTGGGTGGTGTTGCCCGTGGGAAATTTTTCTTTTCAGATGTCTTTCCACCCAGCCTCTTGTCAAAGTGGCAGTCACGACCAAAGAAAATCATCGCCTCCCAAGATTCGTGTTTTTCTGTACGTCGACAACGAAGCCGCCAGAGCTTCATTGATTCGCATGTTCAGCTCCATCCTCTTGCACAACGCTCTCCTTAAGGAGTTAAACAAAGTTGCACTTGCTCGCAGTTTGTTCTTATGGTCGGCCCGAGTGCCCTCGGCTTCAAATCCGGCTGATGCACCATCTAGGGCGGTGATAGAGGAATTAATTAAGGCAGGCGCACGCCAACTGTGTGCACAGTGGTCCCAAGTAGATGTGGATGTCTGAAAGGGGAAACAAAGATATTTGGTGGCGTGAGTTCTTCATGCAGTGCTCTTAAGTGGGGTTAGCCAAGGCCCAGCATGAATGTCCTAAAATTGATGTCGCTGGCTTGGTTCCATGGACCTGCACGTCCACAGGAATT